TTATTATTATTATTATTATTATTATATATATATATATATATATATATATATATATATATATATATATATATATATATATATATATATATATATATATATATATATATATATATATATATATATATATATATATATATATATATATATATATATATATATATATATATATATATAGTTGTAGTAAAAACCACATTGATACAAACCGCCGATTGGTTGTTTGCATTAGTGAATGTGCTACCCGTGTGTGCGGAAGTATCCGAGTTCAGTGCTTGCCATAGTTTTCTGGGTCAGTTCTCTATTTGCTACTCACGTAAAAAATATATAATATCTACATATGCCTATCTCTCTGCTTCATGATATATACGTGTATATGTGGTATATACATTTGTCTCTAAACACACAATCACCTCAACACTGAACGCCCTCAGGAAAAGCCCGGTCGCTTGTTTGCACTAGCCGATGTGCTGTCTGTGTGTGTGACCGTGTTTGAGTACCATGGATTGGCCAGTGACTCCGTGTCTTCCCGTAACAGCCGCAACTTCGGTACACTCACACCCGCGGAGACCAAGCAGCTGATAGAAGAACGCTACAGCAGGTGTGCGTTCACGACTGTGCGTGTTGCTATGGCAACCACCCTACGGTGTTGCTTATACATATACACTGAGAGATGGTGCCGTCGGTGGGTTTCTGCGCAGATGTTCCTGTTCAGAAGCGCTTTGTGCTGTATTGCGTAGGCTGTGTTGGTTTGCTGTGAACATCACCCGCACGTCATCTGACCACAAATACGATCTCTACTTCCCTGGAAACCGTTTTTGTTGACGTATATGACGGTAGGGTTTAGGGTTTAGCCTTCTAACATTGCAGTGCTGTGACTTGGAGCTCATGAGCAGATTGTGTGATACATGGCTCGCAGTGTCTGCGTCACTGCGCGTCTATGCTGTGTACAGCTACGCTGTTTCTAGGGTTTTAGGGTCATCCCAGGTGATACAGAAGATGTAGTCATAGGTAGTTGACATTATATTGATGTATATGTATCCCGATCTCTCGAATTATTGCGGCCCTTGGCTTGACGTGACGCCAGAAAGTGAATGAGGGGATGGGGACTCCTACCAAGCACTGATGGAGTGGGTATGACAAATGGCCACCACTTTCAAACACTAACAAACACGTTCCTTAGGTCATACGGTAGTATACATTCTTATACATTTGACTCACTAAAACGTTCCTTAGGTCATGCAGTATTATATATTCTTATACATTTAACTCACCCAAACGTTCCTTAGGTCATGCAGTATTATACATTCTTATACATTTAACTCACTCAAACGTTCCTTAGGTCATGCAGTATTATACATTCTTATACATTTAACTCACCCAAACGTTCCTTAGCTCGTATATTATTCCATATCTATTACAATTGGCTCTCGCCACACAAACCCACATAACCTCCCCAGAGCTGACTGGCCGTTCTACTTAAACTGTACACCCTGAAAGCTCTGCATGCGGTCTGCAACCACTCACAGATCCCTACACTAGGGTGTAGGTCTTCGAATGTTCATTGATGTCTTGCACTGAAACCGAACTCTACCTAAACGTATATACTGGCTGCTGAATGCGTTGTATTTGCGCGTTGGGCTCTCTTTGCATATATCGTCTGGCCAGACCAATCACATCTGCCCCGCACAACGGCTTATCCTAACGTATTTGGAGACACAGACTGTCATTGCACCCCCTGTTTTAAACTGGAATTTCAAAATCCTGTTTTAAACAGTAATTTTAAATCAATTTTAACTTCAATTTTATACGAAGCGTTTGATATGGACACGTCTACCATGAATTAAGCAAAAAAAAATCAACCATCCCTATCAAAGCCCTATTTTTGATGATACCTGAATACGAAACACATACAATACAATCTGTAATGACTCAATTTATGACATGTCGATTTTCACAGTATGTCACAACACGGCGCACGAAAACAATTGCAAGCGAGGAGAGCAATGGCCGACGAGAAGATGTCTATGGTACGGCACGTGATGAACATGTCACACATTGCTATATAAATATAAATATGTATATACACACACACACAC